ATTTCGAATTGGTTGGAAATTCGGTGGATTCACCGTGACATTCCTTAGGAAATGTTTTATAAATTAACTTCAGATGGAAAAACAGAAATTCTTGGATTTATCACCAACAGGAGGAGAACAATCATTCACAAACAGAAATGGATCCTTTGGATGCGCGAATGCTCGTCCTATTACCACAGCAAAACATAAAAATATGATAGATTTGTTTCCTCAAATTTATCACCTCAATTTTTTATTTTAAAAAATTCAAGACAAAATGAGATGTCCAAAGATTTAATTAATGATGATTCAATTTAAAGAATAAACTATTATATGAAATAATACGTTACATAAATTACTTATACTTGGGATTCAGAATGCGCTAATGAATTTTGTTATTATTTATGTTTATTTCACGAATATTAATTATAATGAGAAAATTCTTGAATAACCTCATATGATAAAATTAATTTATTCAAGTTTCTTAAATTACTGTTTTATCAAACGTCACATCGGTAAAACAGATCGGACCACGGACGCAAGTCGGTAATTTTTATGAGCTGTTTATTTTGTAAGTAGCACAAGTCACTTTACATTTTTAATGAAAAATGACGATTCGTTGACGCTTCGCGCTACCGCGGATCGAAAACAAACAGATCGAAAGTATATCAGAAAGATTTGACAAAACATTTACTATAAACACTACGAAAAGTGGTCAAAGTCATTAACTTACAATTTTTCACGGAGACTTTTCTATTATATTCATATAAAGGTATATTTTTAGAGATTTGAATGAACTTTTTAATAAAATGTACAAAAGCTAAATGTATCTTTTATCGCATTTATACATTTCTCTGTTGCAAATTTGATACTTTTACTTATCTGGTGAGTTCTCCAGCATTGAACTGTCCGCATAGTTTTTGAACCTACCAGTCTAGCAAGTTGTATATTTTCGTCGTCTCGCGGCGAGAGAGGAAAGTAAAAAAGGAAAGGAGGAAGAGAGAGTCTGGCACGATCTTGAAAATCCAAGAGTGTCAATGGCCCCTCTCTCTCTCTCTTTCTTTCTCGCGTGCCGTTTCCTGGAAGGAACCCTATATTGCCGCGGTTCCAATTGCTGCGTCGCGTCGTGCGCGTTTGCCACTTTCGACGCGACGAGGATAGGCTGAAATACCGCGTAGCTTTCTTCGCGAACTTTCACTCGTAAGTGAATGACGACGACGACGACGACTCCTACGATAGACTTTTGGGTTCAAGAACCCCGTGTTATCTCTGCGCAGACGGTAAATTCTAATGTAGTGATTTCTTCAGAAAGAATTCTGTATTGCCGCTCAAAAGTCTTGAGATAATTTTTTGGTTTCGATATTTGGTATTTCAGCCGCTCGTTTATCGGTAAATCGATTAACACGTTCGAGACGAAGCAGAACGTGTATTTTTTATGGTTTTACATATATTATAGTTTTTTTCATATGTATTTTTTCTATTAATAAAAATCAAGTGTATTTATCAGATTCGATAAAGTGTCCACAGGAGCGCCCGATACCGGCCAAACGAATATTACAAGTGTCGGTCCGTAGGGACCGACGCCCACCAAACGAATGGCGAGGTGTCGGTCCGCAGGGACCGACGCCAACGTAACAAAATCTTTATTACATAAAGTATGTTTTACATTTACTGTATTTAATTGTATTGTACGTATTGTTTGTAATTTACATTTATTGTACTATTTTTATCATACAAATATAGTACTTTGCTTAAGATTTCTAAACGGGAGTGTACATATATAATGGTTGTATGATTTAAAATCGAACACACGTTTTTAATTTTGCAAACAAGAGAACATGTAAACATTATCGAGTGATGCATTTGTTTTCAAAAATGAGACCCCTAGTATGCAAGGAGAAAGTTGCATTATTATTTTTTAATCATGTTGAAGTAACATGATACACTGCACATGATATATTTCTTGCTATTGCGTTTGTTTAGAAAAATCAAAAATCTAATTTCTAAGTGGAACGTTTATATCATGTGAAAATCTGTCAAAAGATAAATCCAATCCACTCTACAACGGCTTCCAAGAGTATCGGAATATACATAGAGCACTAAATGCATTCATTCCAGGTATACTCTAATTAAATGATTCAATTATAGGCAGTGTCAATTAATTTTATCAATTTATCATAATATATATGTGCATCTGTATATTTGTATTGTACATGTTATATATGTTCGTTAGAATCGAGTCCAATCTAATATTTAAAATTAATATTTTTTTCACCAGAAATTTAAAAAAAATTGTGCAGTTTCGAGACTGACTTTCTTTCTACAAGATATTTTCTACTTTTTTAAAATAATAATTTTCACCGGATAAAGGAAAGTATTATAGGGGGAAAAAATTTGCGATACCAGGAGGAAAAAGGCGACGCAAATGGAAGGCTAAAGAGTATTTGCATAAGCGCGATTGCAGTAAGATGCAAGGATAGTCGTTACATACGTGTTGCGCACTGCACCATCGTGATTATATTTCTAACAAAACAACTGAAACGAAACCGATGCACATCTATCGGAAATGCATTTTTAACGACGCTCCATTACAGATCCATTCCTTGACCGGAAGTGCTGTTAAACTCGAGAGGGCAACACACACTGTGTAAAGCTTACAGAATATTTTATCAATCGTGAGAATTATTTTACAAAGAAGAAGGCGAATGCAAATTAATTCCATGAATGATAGATTCGCGAACTTAGGAAATGAAAAGATCTGCAAATAAAGTGAAAGACTTGTAAATAATAAACTTTACTTTCATGTTGGAAATTTGATTTATGTAGTCTTACATTGTACATTTATCTTCCGTAAAAACCCTAAAAACTGTATAAAAAAAAAAAAGAATATATAAAAGTATTTAAAGTCTATCTGTCGCGTGTCATTATTGTGCAAACATTTCTCTGTTGTCGTCGTTATCCGTCAATAAGTCATCGATAAAACAATCTCAAGTTTATGAAAAAAATGGCGCGTGTTTCAGCGCAAGAGTAGGTCAACGGATCTACGCGACGCGAGAATACAATTCTAACGCAATTATGCTCACAAGGAGACGCGTATCGTCGTATACTATTAAGCCAGAGGTACGTACGTCTGAACGTGGTGTCGCAGAGTTTTCTGGGAGGTGGAACGAACCACGCGTGTTTCCTAATTATACCAGCGTTTCAAAATCTCCCCAACCGATATAAACCAATATGCTTTTCTGGCTTGCGACATTCTCCCTCCCCTCGTCCCCCTCCTCCTCCTCCTCCTCCCCACCACGGCCGCGCTTTACCCCCTCCCTGGGCTTCTCACGACGCGACGCATAAGCCTACATTATCCAAATTGAATGTCGCACGGCGACAAAATATATCGTACGACCGACTGAGAAACACGACGAGCAAGTTCTACGATCATGCCCACGAATTGTATACACAAAAAGGAATACATTAGAGAACGTCATACCATAGAAAATCATTTGAGAAAAAAAGTACAAATAAGGATGATTCATTTTCTTATCTCAAGTTCCAGTTCCTCCAATTGAAAACCTTCTCTTTTATTATGCACGCGGGAGCAGCAAAGCTCACCGAGCGACAGGAATGCGAGCGCAATGCTCGATTGACCAACACTGAACCAACATCGCGCGTACAACACACCGTGAGGCTTTCTCCTCCTCTTGGCCTTTATCGCTTCTTACGTTATCCAGGATTACGGCTGCACAAGAGGGGCATGTGTACAGGGAATACGGGCCACGTTATAGCCACAAGTTGTAAAATCGGTTAATAGTCAAAGTAATCATCTCTCCAGTGTCGAAAGAACAAAGAAATTGACAGAAACGTTGGCACACGAGTGAACTCGAAATCTTGGCCAAGGCCACTAGCAAAGAAATGTTAAAGAATCAAATGTGTATTTTACACCGCCTTGCGAAACAAAATTTTCGATATTCACGATTCTTTTCTTTCTTTCTTTCTTCCAGGAATTGCGTGAAAAATTCTGAAACAAACATTCTGACGCGTATAAACGTGGCAGGATTTCGATGTTTTCAAACGATAATAGCTCGAAGAATTGAAAGTTAATGCAATTTATTTCATTTCATACGAAATATTACACTTTCTAGGAAAAGATGGAAAATACTATCTAAAGACGATAGTAGTTAAAAATCGAATAACGTTAATATTGCTTTTCAAAAAAAATCTGAATATTTTATTAAGCACAAAGGCTCACTATATCCGTTACACTTCTACGATGGGATATTTTCTGACGAGACATTCTATTGCTTTACCATGTACTATATCGTGTTTCGTATTACATTAGTATAAATATCTCAGTGTCTCGCTCGTTTGTTTGGTTGCCCGGACGGTTGCCCTCGAGTCTAGTGCAAAACTAACTCACCGCCACAAGGGACTCGCGTGTAGGTGCGTGATAAATAGAAAATGTGTATATATATATATATATATCTCGCGCGCGACAGTCACATTCAGACGCAAGAACACGCCTTGCGAATAGCTCGCCATGGCGTGGCACTACGATGTGGTTTGGTGTGGTCTGGCGTGGCGCGAGCCATTCATTCCACGTAACACGTATACGTGTATATTGTGCAATTCTATATATACAATACAGCGCATTATTGAAATGCCATCTCTTCGCGGCATGATTTTACCAGCGAGCAAAAATATGTATGAAAACTGAAAAATTTTTATGAAAAATCAGTAACCGAAACTCGGTTGTTATTTACGTTGAGGATATTAACACGTTCGAGGCGGTGTCGGTCCACAGGGACCGACACCCCGTCATTCGTTTGACTAGTGTCGGTCCCTAGGGACCGACGCTCCGTTATTCGTTTGACCGGTGTCGGACACTTTATCGAGTCTGATAATTATTAGTCTGATTTTTATTAACGTAAAAATACACGTTGATCAAAGGTCAAAGGCTAAGAAACGTAAACTGCAATATTGTATTTACCGTTTTTAATTTTGCAATCACAATTTAAGAAAAAAGAAAAAGATAGTGGTAAGAAACACCCGACATGAAACGTCCAACATCGAAAATTTTTCCAACGCTGTGAACTAAAAAAATGACGTGTACACAGGTCTGTGATCGATCATGAAATGTCGCGAGCAGATTTGTCCCGTTTTTTTAACACTAATGTTACAACATGATGCATCAACTTATCAACAGTATTTCATAATTTTAATTAAATAAGATGTTAAAAAAAAGTAATCCATCTTATCGAACAACATTTATATATTTCAAATTTGAAATTTAATGTATAAAAAAATTGAAATACACGTATCAAATGCAATTACATTATTACTTTAATTAAAAATTATTTTACAATTCGATCATCAAGTATATTGATATTTAATTAAAAATTCAGTTAAAAAATCTCTTAATTAAATGTGTAAAAAAATTAATATACGAATGTTACTTAAATATAACTAAATATTATTATAATTATATTTAATGTATCGATATTATTACAAGCTATTGCAAAATATATTACAAACAGAATCGTTCACACACACATATATATACACACACGTATTACAAATGACAAAGATTACTAGAATTTAATGTAATCATTCGTAACACGATTGAAAAAATGCCACTTGAAAAATGCCGATTGAAAAGATGCAATGGTAACTTGTCGAATTGCAATTTTCAATTGCAATAAATAATCAGGTTGGAATGGCAAAGAAACGAGAAAGAAAATAGAACGGAATTGATTAAGCGTTGCAAGGGTTGCGTATTGTGTGTCGGTCAGTGAAGGGGAAAATTAATTTATGTAGGCGTGGAAGTACACCTCTTTTCTAAGATATGCCTCCTGTGTGGCCGATGGTGCAAAAGAGTTTACAGGCGAATATGGAAATGAAACGAATACGAACTGGTTTTATCACGGCTGTGCAACCGTGGTGTGCCCTCTCACTTCCACTAACAACAATAAGTGAATGTCACACCAACGATACGTGGGCGTATCGTACATCGTATCGGTAACAGTCGATATCACATTAACAGCTAGTTTGTCACTTTATCACCACTTCTTCTGTACATTAATACATATATAGGCTTGCACGTTATTCGGAACGTCTCGAAACCCGAAAAAAGTTTCGAAACTTTGTACTTTCCCAAAACTATGAAATG